CCACAAGTGTAAATCAATGGAAGCAATATAAATAAAATAACAGAAAATAAATAAGCACACAAGATTTACGTGGTTCCCTCAAATAACTTGAGGTACATCCACGACGACCGGTAGGTCAGTTTCTTCCACTATCACCAAATCAGATTACAAAGTGGCCAAAAGGCATAAGCCTTACAAACACACCAAGGTGTAAATCACAAGAGGAAAATACCTCACAAAATAAGTGAACCAAATCTCCAAGAACAAACCGCAAGAAACCCAAATATCAAGTGAAGAAATGTTACCCACTTGAAGAACAAATTTGCAGATTTTTCTGGCACCAAAAAGGAGAAGAAGAAGGCTGAATTTTTGTTGAACCAAAGACTGCCGAAAATATGTCTTCTTGCCAAACCAACAGAGAAGAGAAGAACTAAGAAAGGACAAAACTTATAGTCTTTTGGTGGCTGCCAAATTCCTTTTTAACTTGAAGACTCCAAACCAAGTCTTGGATAAGAGTCCTACACGGGTAAGCCACCAAAAAATTAACAAATTGATGAGTCCCACAAAGGAGGGAAACCCAACAGGGGGGGGAGAGGGAGGCTTCCATTAGTTATTAGACATAATAGGTGGAGTGGCCACTAAACAAAATAAGATTAAATTAAACAATGAATAAGATAATATATCTCTTTCTTTTTTTTCGGTAATTTGGGTGGGAACCTCATCTATCTAGGTTTTCTTACAAAAACAAGTACTCGTCATACTTGCTTTCAGGATTGCAGATAATGAAATTGATGGAGAATCCAACTAATCAATTTCATCTCCCTAGTCAACTCCCTTATTTGTCAATGCATTAGCACATTGATTTCTCTCCCACAATGTGTGAGAAACTTTGATGTTATTGGCTCCAAGAATGTGCTTGCAGTTGTCCACGCGATGCTTTATTGGTAGATTTTCCTGTTGTACCTCTAGGAGGATGCAATAAGCTTCATATCAATCTATTTTCCAGCTCTGCAATTTATTTAAGCCCTTTATAAATAGTTCAGAGTTCAAGATTCAGCATTCAAACTAAAAGTGATAATGATTTTTCTATACAAGCCTTTCACCCAATAGCCTCTTTCATCTCTGAGTACTCCAACAATTGCTGTCTGTCCTGGGTTGTCTTTGGAGCACCCATCCGTGTTGAGTTTGCACCAACTTGTAGGTGGAAAGTTAGAAGATATTAATCTAGTTGCTTTATTGGCGACCTATTGTTCCATGTTCTCACAAGCTTGTGCATTTTCTTAGGCTAACTGTTTGGCCTTCTTTGCAATTATATGAGATGGGGTAGCTATAAATTTCTTTCGGTACTCTTTCTCCTAATTTAATTGAATAAAAGAGTATTTGACTATACTTTGAGTCATTGTGTATTGTTAAGAGATACACCTATATGTAATAGGTCTTACTTCACTAATCTCCTCGGCACATATTGTAACACTCCGGTCTCTTGAATACGTTACTTGATAATTCTAATACTAAAATGTAATGCCCCATCCCATTCTTCCACTCAAATTGGATGTGTGAGTGTATGAGTGTAATTCACTAGTTAAAATAGATAAAATGCATTTACAAAGTCAAGTTTGAAATACAAACTATAACGTTCCAAGTTCCATTGTATTCACCTAAAACTCTGAAATAGAGATAAATGGAGTAGGGTATAAGCCTCAAACAGTTTAGTAGATCAATCCAATTCTACAACAAACCAGGATTTGGACATAATCATAACTTTTAGTAATTGGGATTTAAGGCAACATTTAAGCATATATACATATTTCAGAATAAAAAAATAGGGTTATAATCATATTGAAACCATAGTGTGTCACACTAGAGACCAAAATCTTATGACCTCCCAAGGTCCAGAGAAATCTCAATATCATCAAATAATGTTTTAGGGGACTTTCACTTCAAGTACGATACATTCTCTCTACTTATTCATACCCAAGCTCGAAAGTTACAAGATCGCCAAAATCAATAAATTCAATACAATTCTTTACGATTTAAATCTAGATCACAGGCTCTCTCCCACTCAATTATGTATACAGATGCTTTCCACAAAAGTGGATCCGAATAATCAACTTCCACAAAAATAACTTATTAACTCAACAAATGCGAATTCCACAAAAATACAAATGGATCCAAAATTAAAAATTAGTAATCAACCCAATCACATAATTAAGAACATTTAAAATATAATTTCTAAATAAATTGAGTATTGAAAAGAATTAAAAAAAATTCAAGTCTATCGCAAAACCAAAATAATCTACCAAATTTGTCTCAGTACCTCAAATAACTATGAAAAATCAAAGGGATAAACTTTTTGATGGCAACTCAAACACAAGTAGTTACGAACTATTAAAACATAGATTTATTTTTGTTTTGGCCAAAAAGTGCGTAAGGTGTTCAAACTGGATCCCAAAAAAGAAAAAAAAAACCACCATTTTCAGCATGTGTATCAAGTAAGGTTCAAACTTGGCAAACAATATATGGATGAAAAGCTCTTGAAATAAGAAGTATGGTGATCCAAACCACAACCCTAGACCATACCTCACGCCCCTTCATGCGCCATCGGGGCGTCTGGTGGGGTTCCACTTCCTCCCCCAACNCAAAAAGTGCGTAAGGTGTTCAAACTGGATCCCAAAAAAGAAAAAAAAAACCACCATTTTCAGCATGTGTATCAAGTAAGGTTCAAACTTGGCAAACAAAATATGGATGAAAAGCTCTTGAAATAAGAAGTATGGTGATCCAAACCACAACCCTAGACCATACCTCATGCGCCATCGGGGCGTCTGGTGGGGTTCCACTTCCTCCCCCAGCTTCTCTCTAGCTTTTCTCCCACATTTTTTAACCAAATCAAGTGA